GATATACAGAGAGGAGAGACAGAGAGGAAGATCTTCTGTCCGATGATTCACTCCCCAAGTGAGCCGCAACGGGCTGATACTATGCCGATCCGAAGCCAGGAGCCTCTTCTGGGTCTCCCACGCGGGTGCAGGTTCCCAAGGCTTTGGGCCGTCCTTGACTGCCTTCCCGGGCCACAGGCAGGGAGCTGGAAAGGAAGCGGGGCTGCCGGGATTAGAACCGGCGCCCATATGGGATCCCGGGCGTGCAAGGCGAGGACTTAACCACTTGCGCCACCGCGCCGGGCCCCGGAAAGCAATTTTTAAAGTTTGCCACTGTATTCTAATTTTCAGACAATTTCTAGTGGATCTGTCTGTGGAAGAATATTTACTGGGCTATACTGCCACATCACTGGCCTTAGAACGTTTGTACTGATTCTAATTTCATCCTAGCAATTGAGAGAGAGAGAGAGATGTGTTTATTTTTACTGGAAAAGCAAATTTAATCAGAGCAAGAGAGTCAGAGACAAAGAACTTCCATTTGCTGTTTCACTCCTCAAATGGCCACAATGGTCAGAGCTGAACCAATCAGAAGCCAAGAGCCAGGAGCTTCTTCAGGATCTCCCATATAGGTGCAGGATACCAAGGCTTTGGGCCATCCTCTACTGCTTTCCCAGGGCAAAAGTAGGGAGCTGATGGGAAATAGAGCTGCCAGGACATGAGCTGGTGTCCACATGGGACCCCAGCGCGTGCAAGGTGAAAATTTAGCCACTGAGTCATAACACTGGGTCCAAACCCCAACACTTTTCGAAACGATAATCAGAGAATCTTTCTTGTATTTAATCTTTTTCACCTCATGATAGGTCTTTTCAGGAAGAGTCCATTCCCTTTTAAGAATCACTCGATCACGTCTGGCTCATCAAAAATAATCATCCTTAACATTCCAACAAATTAGTGTCTTCATTACATCTGCTTGATTGGGCATTCAGTCTAAGGGTTAAAATACCTAAGTCCCACATTAGAATACCTGGGTTCAGTACTCAGCTCAGGATGGTAACACCAACATTCTGCCAGTGCAGACTCTGGGAGGCAGTGCTTATGGCTCCAGGAGTTGGATTCCTGCCACCAATGTGGGAAATCTGGATTAAGTTGCTGGCACCCTGCTTCAGCCCTGGGCTTCAGCCTGACCCAGTATTGGCTGCTCCAGGCATTTTTTAGAATGAGCAATAGATGGGGGAGTCTTCTCTCTCAAATACATTTATCCTTTAAAGAATACATAATGCCTAATCTTTTCACAATCGCAAGTAGATTAATCTTTAACTGAACTGCTAGAAAATAAGTATTTTTCAGAACCGTGGAATCGTGGGGGCAGCATAGAAGTTAAGAATATCAAAAGATGATGCTTTTATGTTCCAACGTCTGTACTGAGATCTGGAAAAGAGAAATATCTCTGATCTCAGGCAGAGGGACTTAAACTTTCTAAGATTTTTTTCAAACTCCCCTTTCCTATTGGTGGGAAGGCCTATTATCTTGGGATGGAGAAAAATGAGGCCAGAACAGGGAAATAAGGTCACAAAAGCTAGAGAAATTACAGCTTAATCAAATTTGCTCCACCTTAGAAATGCGCTATTGAAAGTGATTTAAAAATTCATGGGGCTGAGATTTTGACACGATAGTTAAGATCCTGCCCGGGACACTTCCATCGCATGTCTGAGTGCCTGATTTTGAGTGTCAGCAATTTCACTTCTTATTCTGCTTCCTGCTACTGTGCACTCTCAGAAGCAGCAAGTGATGGTTCTAGTGACATGTGTTCCTGCCACCCACCCACACTGAATCTGGGAGTTCCAGATTGAATTCTGAGCTTCTGACTTTGTACTGACCAAGCCCCAATAGTTGCAGTCATTTGGGGGATGATCCAGTGGGTAGAAGCTCTCCGTCTCCCTCTCCCTTTCCTTCTCCCTCTGTTTTCTTCATTTCTAATGAAATAAAATTTAAAAGTAAAATCATGCTCCGGTGTTATGGTAACAGCTGAAATAAGAATATAGTGCCCTAACTGAAAAGTAGGTTTCTCATGAGATTCAAGCATTGTGTCAGACCAGATGTTCCAGTATACTGAGGGGCTGTTAGGAACAGAGAAGTGCTTTGCAAATAGTCCTGTTGTGTCACTCCTAAGACCCCAAACGGGAAGACAGTTGCAGAGTTACTCATACACTCATGCACCTTGACTACTCCCTTTCTCATTTTATCACTTCTCATAAGTAAGTCAATGAATCTCTGTCTTGATATAGCAGCTAACCCAGTCATGCCTTGTATGAAAGAGAGGTTCGACTGGGGCTCAGGTGCAGGGAATGAGGGGTGTAGCAGTGGTCTTCATGGAAAAAAAAATGAGACCTTGACCATTGGGTAACATCTGAGACTAACAATCCTCGTTGCCCAGCATTTTCAAGTCATCTAGGAGCATACCGGCCTCTGCGGCAGAAAGAGAACAGAATGAATGAAATCCGATTTCAATTATGTTCAGCATAGTAACCCTCTTCAGGCAGAAAGGCCAGAACACCTGGTGCAGCCTGGGCCACGGAGGTCAAAAGGACAGCACATTACTGAGTCTTAGAAGCAAGTGAGAATACACTTCTCTTCCTCAAGCAAATGCCTTAGAGGTCCGGGGCGGGGGCACATGTAAATTATCAGCCAAATTCTCATAGGCATTCCTCAAAAAGGGGGTGTTATTTCTTCTTGACAATTCACCCTGTAGTTTCTGCACATATTGATCCTGCTTGTACTGAGCTTTCTACGGCCGTAGGTCATCACTCCATTGAGATTTGAACGAGTGGTAAGGGAGTTGAATATCAATTACTCTATGAGCCTCTACACCTTTATAGATAGAATGTTGCATATTTATATAGATTCTTTCCCTCATTACCAATAACTCTAATAGTGCATGGTACATGGAAAAGCTATTCCAGAGGACAGCTTATATTCACAGCTCTGTTCGTTGTATTTTCTTGACACAATAAAAACGAGATCTCTGTGAGATTCCCCATATAGCTAGCACTAGTAACCTGTGGCTTTTGAATGCTGAAAGTGCAGCCAGTGAGAATCAGAGAGAATTTTTTAAATTATATGTGATTTAAAGTTAAATAGCCACAAATGTCTAGTGGCCGTGTATTTACCTGTGTGCGTGTGTACATGCATGCATGCAGGAATAGGAAAGAAGGAGCGGCCTATTCCAATTCACCAGAGGACTATCAGCCATTCCCTTATACACAAACGCACAGCACACACTTACATGCTCCACTATCCTAACTGTACATTCCATGAAGCTATTAAAATCAGAAATCCCTTCATAAGATAATTCCTAAAAAAAATTCTTGTTTTAGCATGTGGTGTATATTTAAGCCACTGTGGTGCCACAGGTGTGTTTCTGTTAGAGCAGATGACTGGGGACTTCTCATAGCATTTTGTTTGTTCCTTTTTGCATGTGATGCTAGTAAGAAAAATGCACAATCAATGATACCAATAGGAAGAAGGGAGGATACAGCCGTTGTCCCACTACTCAACTCTGCCTTTGGACCAGAAGGAGCAGTTAGGACCTCAGATTCCTTAGAGAGGCAAAATGATATCATACAAAGAAAATTGACTTTTTAGTCAGCAGAATAAATTAATATTATTGTTTTCCTCTTGTAATTATGTTCTGTTAGTTTACTCATTTGGAAACTGCGGAAAAGAAATACTGCTAAATATACATTTAATTCACTGTGGAATTAAGTCATGTGTATTCGTGAAATGAAATACTTAGAGGTTCATGAAGCTAACTTTACTTCTTTTAGTTACCTCAGGCATATGTCTAATTAAATCTCTCATCTTCTGGGCTAGAAAAGTGACTACATGGTCTGAAAATTCCTTAGCTCCAGGCTGGAAAATGACAGTGTTTTAAAAATAGAGTCTGCCTATAGGAACTGTAAAAGGAGAATGCATTCTATATGTACCACCAGTCTGTGGAGCTCTGTATGAGAATCTGTGTTAGCAGTGAGTTCACAAGATGCAAAGATAATAGGGGCGGGGAAGGAAGACTTGTAGCTCTGGAAGACAATGGGCTCGGCCTACACCACACCTTCTAGCCTATGCACTTGGTGGGAGATGGGAGTTGGCAGTGGGTATGCATATCTCCCATTACTAGCTGCACACAATGCCTGCAGAAATAGTTGGTGGGGGAGTTCATCTTTCGCTCAGAATTAGTTTGCAGATTTATTTGTAATTTTCTCCCAAAGTTATTCGCTCCTATTACACTACCAACCCGATCATTTCCTCTTTCTTACCTTGGATGTTAATTCAAACAAGTGATCATTTACTGCATCAATATATTCAAAGACACCATGATTTATATTTGCCCTGAAAGATTTATTTTTCTAATTAGAACTGAAAGTTGGTTTCAAAAACGTATATTTTCTTTTCATATCCCAGAACAAATGAGCAATAGCGTTTGCTGTAGTTCTCCATTTCAGTTGCACAATCAACCTCTCTTTTGTAATGTTATTATTATTATTATTTCAGGAGATTGGAATAAGTGATTTATGGTCTACTGTGGTACAACTGCCTATGTAGTCCTCAGAGTTATGATCATTTGAAATATTTATATTTTTGTCAATATTAATTCTTTGGAAACAGTACAATGCCAAAGGACTTCTAAATTGTATGAGTATGTGGGGAGAATAGTTTTTAAGATTTGAGCTACTTATTTTAATTAATATAATTTTATCACTTGTAATGAATAACCCCTAATATGTTTCCCATTTTATGGAAAAAGAACAGAGCACGAGACATTCAGGCATTTCTTCAATTTGAGATCATGAATTAATTTTCATTTAAACCAGTGCTGAACATTTTTGCTAAAGGCATTTACAACCTGTGACAAGTGAGACTTATCATCCTTACTTCCTTAGCTCAGACAACTTTTTAAAAGAACAGCTGTCCTGTGTGTTTTGGTCCCACTGATGATAAATTCAATTTTTTTTTCCTTCAAATAGCTCGGAAGTTGAAGAAACTTGGAAATCTGAAACTACAAGAAGAAGGAGAGTCTTCAAACGCCAGCAGCCCTACTGAGGAAACAACTCACAAGCTGACAGTATCGCACATTGAAGGCTATGAGTGTCAACCCATTTTTCTCAATGTCTTGGAAGCCATTGAGCCAGGTGTAGTGTGCGCTGGACATGACAACAATCAGCCAGACTCCTTTGCTGCCTTGCTGTCTAGCCTCAATGAACTGGGTGAAAGACAGCTAGTCCATGTGGTCAAGTGGGCCAAGGCCCTGCCTGGTAAGGAAAAGGATATTGATGGTATGGGATAATGAGGTCTCATTAAAGGATGTCCCTAGAGCTAGTCAATATATCTAGTACTTTCCAGTTTGTTCCAGTTTGTGTCCTGGTTGCTCCACTTCCCATCCAGCTCCTTGTCTGTGGCCTTAGGACCCTGCACCAGCAGACAGAAGATCTTTCTCTCTGTCTCTCCTTTTCTCTGTAAATCTGCCTTTCCAATACAAATAAATAAATCTTTCATAAACATAAGAATAGAGTGTCAGAAGTCAAGTAGGAAGGCAGCACCTTAAAGTGTCCTGTAGAGCTCACATAGATGTACAGCATTCATGATTTCATGATGTCATGATCAACAAATTCCCATAACCACAAATCACATAGATACCCCAATTATGGTTCAGGATACCCCTCCATGCAAGTACACATACCCTCACCTCAATATAAGAGCAAGCCTAATTAACATTCTGATTTCAGTGTCACCATAAGGATTTTGACCCTGGGTATTCTTATTCTCTGATAGGGTGGAAAGACATAGAGTTGGAAGTTAGAACACTTCATTTCTAGTTTGAGCTCTGATGATAGATCTGTGTGATCTCTTCTTGTTGTGGATAGCAGTTTTTCTGTCTAAATAATGTGTAAAGAGTGATTTGAACTAATTAATAGCTTACATATTTGCTTCAAGGAACCATTAGTGCTTTTAAAAAATATATTTACTTTACTGGAAAGAGAAAGGCAGATTTACAGATAGATCTTTTGGTTCATTCCCCAAATAGCCACAACAGCCACAGCTGAGCCTTTCGAAGCAAGGCACTAGGAGCTTCTTCTGGGTCTCTCACATGGTTACAGGGTCCCAAGGCTTTCGGCCATCCTCTGCTGCCTTCCCAGGATACAAACAGGGAACTAGATAGGAAGTGGAGCAGCCAGAGACAGGAACTGGCACACATATGTGCTCCCAGAGCTTGAATGGAAAGATTAGTGACCTTTAAACTATGTAAGGAATCACAATCAGAGAGAGAGAGTGCAAGAATTACCCAATGTTTATCTGCTACTTTGATACCTCTACTGATAATGAAGTCAACTTCCTCAGTAGGTCATCCAAGACTGATTATTAAAATATTACAGCTTAAGAAACCTCAGAGATCCTCTATTCAAGGGTTCATGACGATTCACGAACTTGCCTCATTAGCTAAATTCTTCATTCCATACAAGCATTATGCACATGTAAAGGTGGAGTTTTTCAGATTTAAAACCAAAATATGTGGCCTCAACCTCATCAGTCCAGGCTTTCCTTCTCTATTCCCAGGGAAGGCCCAGGTCAATTCTGAAGAACCTTTGGGGCTCCAGAGAACGCAGTTTGAAAATCAGTGAAGCATGTGCTTGTCAGAAGCTCTTTTAACCCTGGGCTTAATTATTCAAACATTCTTTTGAAATATGAACAGTCTAACCTCTTGTGAAATCAATGATTCACCTGCCTTCTAATAATAACTGCCATCCAGGTAGAGATTTATAGTAAACAGAGCACTTTTGCATGTATTGCAAAATTTGATCCTCATGAGAATCCTACAAAATAGAGATTCTTTCACCTATTTTACAGACAGTTGCTGAGGCTCTTGAGAAATGGCATGATCGGAATACAGCTAGGCCAAAACTTGGGTCCGGAGCCCCTGCTAGTTCTAACCTCTCCTGTTCCTTCCAGACTACCTGTATCTCTAGCAACCCAGTGATTCAGCAGCCCTGAATCACTCGTTAAAGGCCACTTGGATTTGTTACTTTTGAAGACTTTGCCTGTTGGACGGCCATGAAGCCCCTGTTTTCAACTCACAAGATCCAGTTGCAGCCACTAGAGTGTTGCTAACCCTTTCACACTAGAGGAACCTGAGTGATTACCCAGTGGTATCACTGGAAAGAAGGCCTAATGACTCATGCTGGATATGCACTATGATAAAACAATGTCTACACAGGAAGGAAAAAAAATGCTTTAATTCTTATCACTTACTCAGCTGGGTGCTTTAAGGTCATGTGTTTGAAAGATATCCCAAGTTCATTTTCACAAGCAGTTTTAAATGCTTAGCATTTCTCATTCTTATAGGACACAGAGCCTTTTCTTATATATTATCCCATTTTAACCTCACAGCAGCCCTATGAACCACAGGAACTACCATTTCCATTTCACATGCCAAGACTTAAGTTAACTAACTTGCTCCATTCGTCATTTAATAAATCAAACCAGTACTTCAGCTCAAAATCTCTGATTTCCAGTTGAGTGATCGTGATAGCAACCTAGTACAAATGACTGCGGCAGAATTAGTATGATTTTGGATCCCTGGCTTTCCATGACCCAACTCACCATCTACCTTGCCAGAGCAGATGTTCTCTGACTTTTACTTATTCAAAAAAAAAAAAAAGGCTGATTGCCACCTTTCTGAGAGCTGTTATATTAACTATAATCACTGACTGAAACAATGAGATTTAGTTCCTATCCAGTATGAGGCACCCTGCTGATCATAGTCAGATAAATTTTATTGTAAACTTTCTGAAATTATAATGGTATTGGTAATTTTCCACTAATGCACCTAGTGTGTTAGCAAATTCTAACTCTCAATTAGGGATGATTGTATAAATTGTGTATACACAGTATATTTAAAGTCAGATTATCTTATTTGAATCCTAGCTTGCACTTGTTGTGAACTTGAAACAAGTCACATTTTTTATTGGTTTGTTTTTCCTTCTCTTTCCTCATTTGAAGAGGTGGTAGAACAATTGCTACTTCGAAAACTGTTGTAACAGATATTATTTTTGAAGAGTACCTAATAGTAGTTGCTGATATACCTAATATAGTGCCTACAATGAGAGGAATTGGTGCTTTATAAATGGTAGCTTATCATTGTGATACTAGAACATTAAGTAGCTGCTTTCACTGTGTTCACTTTGAGATAAACTAACCTTGTTTGGAAGCTCATGCGTGGACCCCAAGGTTGAATTGTCTTCATTCAAGACCTTGGCTGACAAGTTCACTAGTGAAGCAAAAATTTCTAAACTTTCTTTTCTTTGAGCCTGTTTTCTCAGACTAAACACAAGACTATAAATTTCCACTGCAGACTGTAAGATGTGATGTGAATTGGATACTAATGAGAAATTAATGAGAGTCTGAAAGAAACTGCCTCTGCTTCCCAAACTGATTGGTGTATTTCAAAACCTGAGAATGTTGCCTTTCTCTCTAAACAGAGTGGCAAGTAGGTGTTGAGTGGCTGCATACCTAAGACCTGAGATTTATTTTTGTTTCCTCGAGTCGTCCCTTTGTGGCCACACTATCTGTGCAGACTCCTCCAGAGTGTGGGCATTGCAAAGCAGAATATTTTAATGATATTGGACTTTTAGAAAAATTAGTTGTCCATGTTGCTGCTAGCTGCACAATCATTAGGCTTGAGGGCTGAGCAGCCCTCACTAATGACTATTATTAGAGCCAAACTAAGCTCCACAATTTGTCTCATCTTTGTTAGTTCTCTGACACCTCAGGGAGGGAAAAGAAGCATCAGTATGGACGGTTGCCTTGATGGTTGTACAGTTTAAGCCTCATTCCTCCATGTAGCCTCACAATTACACATCCACTGCAAGCCAAGGCTCACCAGCCAGATATGCCTTGCTCCCTACTGCCTCCCATCTCAGAACTGCAGGATTTAAGCTCCCACATCCCTTCTCCAAAAGATACTTAGACTCTGATGCTTATTTCCAATAAGGAAGGTCATCTGCACACATTCTGTGGTACAGAAGGGCTCAAGGCAGGAAATAATATGAGATCTGAGTCTCTAATTCGTCAATCAGCATTATCACTACACTGGAAGTTGGGGTGGGCTAAGGTTGGGTGGTTAGGAGTGCAGGTTCTTAATGGGGAACTCCAGAATTTCTGATGGCTGGGAGACTTGGATTCTAAAAGCAAAGAAAGGGGCAGTGTGGGCGTGTGAGTGGGTAGGGACTGGTGATGCAGAACAATGTGTCTGGATTATACTATCCAGACCTTCAGACTTAAGCATATGGTAGAAGAGTGCTGGTAAACTTGGTAGCTCCTGAACTGCGACCTCCAGGAGTGGGATGAACAAAGCACTGGGAAAAGGAATCAGAACACCTGGATTCTTGTCCCGGTTCAGCCACAGGTAGACTAGGTGGATCTCAAGCTGGACAGGTAACTTCTCTGGCTCTCAGGTTCCTTGTTAGTAAGTTAGTTCCTTTGAGGCTGTTGTGAGAGTTAACTGAAGTCAATAGGAAAGTAATAGGCTTGATGTGAATTTGAACAAGTGCTTCTAATGAGGCATAACATGATAAAATTTGATATAACTCCAGATTTATTGTGAGAAAGAGAAGAGTACTGCTGCTGCAGTTGAACTCTTAGATCAGGCTTTTGTATTTTTAAATGCCCATTGTTTAGAACCCTCCAGGAATATGTGGCCCTGTCTGTTCAATCTGTGTGTTATTGTGGAGGTAGCCTGTGAAAGCCTTTTTCTGAGCTCAAGAGAAGTAATTTCAAAATTATCTAATTTCCATTTTGCAAAAACAGAAAAAAGGCACCCGTAACTCATGTGTTGAAGGGATGTTTTTCCAGTGCTCACTTGAATGCCTAGACTGTTCTAAAGAGGCAAAGTCGAGCAAAATGATACAGTGAAGCTCTTCCAGAAGCTTTAAGCTTGTAGGAGAGACAGACATGTATAGAAGTCAAATCCAGGACTGTAAAATGAACACTATAATTGTGTTACTACACAAAGTGCAAGAAGAAAAATCATCATCAAGGTTTCTGCTTCTATGTCTCAGGAAAGGCTTCATAGAGGAGGTAGTATTTGATTGGCGATTTCTAGGTGGCTGTTTGTCAGATGGAAAACCTGGGGAGGGAGGATACATTCTAGGAAAAGGCAATTGCTTGTACAGGAATAATTCAGTTACACAGGCATGTGAAGGAAGGGCCAGTTCAGCAAATTGTAAGCTTTACAGAATGACTGGGACTGGAATCATGAGAAGGCCAGTGGCCAGAAGTTAGTCTAAGTAGCAAAGTTGTGAAGGGTCTGTTGTTGAACAGTCATGACAATGGAGTAGGAAAACAAGACGGGTAACATTTAGTGGAAGAATGGAAAGATTTTGTAGTGAAGAAAGATGACCAAAGAAAAGAGAGGGACAGAGGGAACCCAGAAGTGCCGTGGAGAAGACAGTGGCCGTCAAAGCAACCCCCCACATCTGCTGAAAAGTATCCCTTCCCCAGGGTTGTTAAAAGAATCAAATCAAGTAGCACTTGGAGAAGAGCTTTGTAAAGTGACAAGAGCTGCTCAGTGTGACTTACTGCATCTTCAGAATGCATGATGATGGACAGCATGGGCTTTGGAGTCTAGACTTCTTTGACTTTGGAATTTTGTTTGCTAATCACAAGCCAATGTCCATTGGACATGTTCCTTAATCTCCCCTCAATGACTCATTTTTCACACAGTGGGGTTTGCAACAGTACCTGCTCTATTCATTTATCATGCAAATTAAATGAGATAACACATGTAAAATACGTAGGAAGAGTTCAGTCCCAGAAAGCAGCAAGTGCTAGATTATTTTTTTTCCAACTGAAATTTCTCTTTCTTCTTTTTCTCTCATCATCATCTCTATTAAGCAGCTCGATGAAGTAGGGAAAGCTAGAAATATGCTACATTCTTTGCTATCTACTTCTACCCCCTCAGAAAATGACGGTTTCCAAGGCTCCGCCCACGCAGAGGCCCACACTTGTCACAGCTCGTCAATACCAGACTGACCACTGCCTCTCTCCCTTCACCAGGCTTCCGTAACTTGCATGTGGATGACCAGATGGCAGTCATCCAGTACTCCTGGATGGGACTCATGGTGTTTGCCATGGGCTGGCGATCCTTCACCAACGTCAACTCCAGGATGCTCTACTTTGCTCCTGACCTGGTTTTCAATGAGTAAGTGCTCTGGGCCCAAACCTCACATAAATAGAACTGCTTGGTTGTGATGCTGATGGGGTAACAGTGGGATTTAAAATCACTTGACTTGCTCCAGGAAAGAGTGGAAGCCCCATTCGGCCAGTTCCGTCTGAGATGCTTAGACCTGGCTAGGAGGTCAATTGCTGGGAAGCAAGGGGAGTATTGTTCCCACCCAAGAACCAGTCTTTACTTTTTTGGTTGTGCTTCTGACATGATTTTTAGTTCATCTCAGAAACTTAGGAAAAATTCCTCCTCTTCACTTTGTGAAACATGTGGAAGAATCAGAGATTCTGGTTTTGAAAGCTAACGTTCCCTTGATCCTTTGAAACTGTCAGTCACCATTTGTTCCACAACTGTGCTATGCCAGGGCTATGCTAGATAGTTTAAATACTTTCTAAATCCTATCTCAGTTAACTCCTGATGGTAACCCGATATCTCCTTTTTATAGATACCTTTTTGTGGATGGGAAAATTCAGACTCAGCAAAATGACATGACTCACTCAAGGTCACACAGCTAGTACATGTTGGAGACAAGATTCAAAGTATGTCCTGAGCAGGAACTATGATTTAGCAAGTTAATCTACCTCATGGGACACAAATAGCACATATGGAAGTGCTGGTTCCAGCCCCTGCTTCTCTGCTTACAACCCACATTCCTACTAATGCTCCTGGATGGTAGCAAAAATTATCCCCCATCATCTAGATGGTTCCTGCTACTTGTAGAACAGATCTGAATTGACTCTCTGGCTTCTACCTTTGGCCTGTCCCAGTCCCAACTGCTGTAGGCATTTGGAAAGTAGAACACTGTGTGGAAAATTCATTCTCTCTCTCTCCTCTCCCTCAATCCTTCCCTTTCCTTCTCTCTCTATTCTTCACTCCCTCTCTATTACTTACAAAAATTATTTTAAAAGAATATATTTTTAAAAATCATGTCATTGTTGTACCCTGCTCTATTCCTCATTCATGATGATCATAAATGGAGAAAAGCAGTGATTATATCATCCTGTACTTCTCCTAACTCATTAACACCTGTGCTAATCTCTAGCAATGTACTTTGGCACTGTCATTTCCTTTGCCTTAATAAGATTTAATTAATACCTGTATTTTGTCAGCTTTATTTATTCTTCATGAATTTTGCAGAGGACACACATTTTGGAATTATGTGTTTGTCCAACAAAATCTCAGTTCTGGGCTCAGCGTGATAGCCTAACGTTTAGGGTCCTTACCTTGAATGCTCCGGGATCCCATATGGGTGCCGGTTCTAATCCTAACAGCTCCACTTCCCATCCAGCTCCCTGCTTGCAGCCTCAGAAAGCAGTCAAGTACAGCCCAAAGCCTTGGGACCTTGCACTTGCATGGGAGACACGTAGAAAGGTCCAGGCTCCTGGCTTTGGATCAGCGCAGCACTGGCCATTGCAGTCACTTGGGGAGTGAATCATAGAACAGGGGATCTTCCTCTCTGTCTCTCCTCCTCTCTGTACATCTGCCTATCCAACAAAAATAACTAAATCTTTTTTTTTAAAAAAAAAATCTCAGTTCTAGCACTGCCTCCATCATCATCTTTGAACAAAAACTTTAATTTCTTTGAGCCTCCATTTTTCAGCTGTCAATAAAAATAGAACATTGGATTATGAGAGCTTAATTATGATAGCTAAATGAAAACCAATGGATATGGACTATCTGGCCTATGGAAACCAAGAAATTAAAAACAAAGAAATTTTTGGCCCAGCACAGTGGTTCAACTGGCTAATCCTCCATCTGCAAGCACCAGCATCTCATATATGGGCCAGTTCATGTCTCAGCAGCTCCACTTCCCATCCAGCTCCCTGCTTATAGGCTGGGAAGGCACAAGAGGATGGCCCAATGTCTTGGAATCCTGAGCCGATGTGGAAGACCCAGAAGAAGCTCCTGGCTCCTGGCTTCGGATTGGCTCAGCTCCAGCTGTTGCAGCCACTTGGGGAGTGAACCAGCAGATGGAAGAGCTTTCTCATTGTCTCTTATTCTATTCATGTATCTGTCTTTTCATTAAAAATAAATACTGCTCTTTTTTTTTTTAGAAAAAGAAATTGTTTTATGGTTCTCTCTTTTCCTAATAGAGATAATCTTTTCTTCAGCTACTTTTGAGATCACTGTCAATGACATTGTGAATGATACTAATCAAGAAAATCTTCTCTAGGTCCTTCAGTTAGTCTCACAATGGGGACACCTTATAATCAGAACAGGAATTGAACTTTCCTCGCCTTCATCCCTCTAGCTCTGAAAAAAGCATTAAAATATAATCCGCAGGCATTGGTTCATTACAGTACAGCAGTGCCATGTAAGAGAGAGTGATTGTCCCCACCTGCCCTCTCTCAACCCTTCCAGCCCTGCCAACTAGAAACTAAAAATAATCATTGAGCTTTTGGCACAGATCCTTTTGTGGTTTCCAGACCTCCAGAGTCTGCATGCCATCTTCTGGGGAAGGTCTTAAAATGCTGCCTTTGGCCTGACCAGTCCTGTCCTGTCTGTTTTGGGGCTTTCCAGAAGTAAACCAGAAGATAAAAGATATTCTCTTTCTCTCTCTCTCTCTCTCTCTCTCCACCTCCCATCCCCCTTATACCTTCAAGTAAATGAAAGCAAGACTTGAAAAGTCCACCATCATGAAAGAGCTTGGAACAACAGTGTTTTGGTCAATTGTTTTTCATTTTGCCTTCAACCTAAACTGAATAGTCTTATGCTCTCTCTATTCCTCTTTCTCCGGGGGATCCAAAATGTCTTTAAGATAGATTGCTTAGCTTCCACAAGGCAAGAGCGGACCTAGTCAGCCTATGTACCAGGCTAATGACTTTTGGAACAAAAATCAAAGCTCAGCCTTTAGGATCCGTCTGGGAAGTTCTTGTCCTTACCACTTTAGTGGGTGTCAAATTTCCTTTCACTTATACAAGTTCACTTTCTGTCTGAAACATACACAAGCTCAATCTCTGATGTGCTAAAACTCAGAAAGCCTACTACCAAGAATATTCTGTGTCTGCTTTGAAAATCATGCCATAGCCAATCACAGACAGAGGTTGCTCTCCTCTGAAAAAATTTTCCAAGCCTTGTACATTTCCCCACATAACTGATAGGTGATAATGTGATGATCTGTTTACAACTCACTATAATGAAAGCATCTCACATATGTTTACAGATTCCCAAAGTGGGGCAAGGAACAGTCAGTGTATGAGGGAGTTGGTTCCCCTTCAGCAGGAACATTGAAATCAGACAAGCAATACTCCTTGGCAGACTCAGAAATGGAACCTCATTTTAAATTAATATTGTGGAAACCACGTTGCTGGAAGTTTTTAAAGTAATGACTCAATTTCTAGAATAAGAAATAGCATTTAAACCAAGAGGCAAGTGGAGATGGAGTAGGGGCTGACAGGCTGAACGCCTGTGATCCCTTGCAAATCTTGATGTCCCGGTGTTAAGAAACGATTTCTGAGTCCTCTCTAGAAATCTCCCAAGTTGGGTTACCTGGGTTACAGGTTCTGGCTCTGACATTGCTAGAACTGGAGTTATAGAGACCATGTGTTGGCCCCATTGTGTCCATTTGCTTCTGCTTTCTGTCCCTGGCTTGGGCAGAAGGTAGAAGGAAACCAAAGATAGAAGAAGGTCTGGAATTTTCATACATTAACCTATCACACCCAGGGAAGATGAGCAGTTATCAAGGTGTCAGAATTTGAAGGAGAAAAGAACATTATTCCTTGTACTGATGCATCGATAGGAGAAACAAGCTCTTCTTGGTGAACATTGGGGAAGGAACACAATGATAGATAAGGACTTGCTAAAAGCCTTTTCTCATTCCTCTTCCCTTCCATATCTTCTCCCCAGGTACCGCATGCACAAGTCCCGGATGTACAGCCAGTGTGTCCGAATGAGACATCTCTCACAAGAGTTTGGATGGCTCCAAATAACTCCCCAGGAATTCCTGTGCATGAAAGCATTGCTGCTCTTCAGCATTAGTAAGTGCTTGGAGGTACAGGGAATGCCCTTGAGAGTGTGGAGATTCAGAGGTGGCCATTTTTTTTTTTTTACCATTAAACAGTTATCAGAGAGAAATCAGTTCCTGGACATTTCCATTCTTTTTTCTCCAATACCCTCCTCTCTCCATGAGCATCCTGTGTCCTACCAAGGACCAATTTTGTGGATAGAGACCAGTTTATTTACTAGAGTTCTCATCTTCCAGCAGTTCCTTAACTTCACCTTGGGATCAGACCTCCTGATGTGGTTGTAGCAACTAATTGAGTATTTCTACAGCGTCTGCTGTGGAAATGGGCCTGGGCCACTTCCTGTAAGAAATCTTCAAAAAGTTCATGGGAACTGTACATTATGAAAAAACTATGCATGAATTCCAATTTGTTGCACCAAAGTAAACTTAACTTTTAATTGCATTTGTTCATGAACTTTTTGCATTGGCCTTGTATTCCTTGCTGGCAGGACAGCACAGCAGGCAAGACTGCCTCTTGGAAGTCATTTCCTCTTTTGCCAACAGAAGAAAGTCTATATGAGACACTCAGAAGGGTTTGTTTGAAAGCCAAGGAAAATTTCCTTAATGTCTGTCTTCTTTACAATACTGTCTTTGCCTCTACAAAGGAGAAAGAAGGCAAAATTTGAAATCGGAAGTGGACTGTTAAGGAAGCAAGACATTCTATCCTAACAAACGGGCATATGAGAAGAGTAGAAAAACAGTCATTTCATTGTGGTTGCTTGACTCTTTTCCTATTGGATCCAGCTATAATTTTCTCTGAGATCTCCCTGACAGACCTGAAGTCCCCACACATACTTGATTCAGCTGATAGGAAACCAAGTAGACGGTTCCCTCCCTGTGGGGGTGGGGGTCAAGTTTGTGGTCAGAAAATTTGGTGCTTTGTCTAATGTTCCTTCGTGGGCATGCTTCCCCTCCCCATTCTGTCTTCATCCCACATCAGTTCCAGTGGATGGGCTGAAAAATCAAAAATTCTTTGATGAACTTCGAATGAACTACATCAAGGAACTCGATCGTATCATTGCATGCAAAAGAAAAAATCCCACATCCTGCTCAAGGCGCTTCTACCAGCTCACCAAGCTCCTGGACTCTGTGCAGCCTGTAAGCAAATGATGGAGGGTGCTTGATCAAGGAGAATAGCGTGATAGAACTACTTGATGATATGTCCCTCTTGGGTTTGGCACCACCTGTTAGGAGGTGCTTCTCCCCCTCTTTGACTTTGAATTTCAGCGGAAAAAAAAACGCAATAGAGAAGAAGGGAACATAGGTCACAATGTCCTAGCTAGAAGTTATGAAACAGGTGTAGGAGTTGAAAACAGAACAGTTGAGATTCAACCAAAGGGCTTAGAGTAGGTGAGTACTCCAGGCAGACAAAACAACTCACAATGTTTTTCACTTTCTTAAGTCATGTGCATGTGAGCTTGCCTATGTGTGCAGTAAAAATGAGTGAGTGAGTGAGTGAGTGAGTGAGTGAGTGAGTGAATGTGTATGTGTGGAAGAAAAATACTCAAGCCTGAACTGAAAGCTCACAATGATGTAAGAAATCTCTTGGGAGCTCTCAAGGATTCCCTGAAGACCATTTCTCACTCTCTTTATCCCTCTCACTCACACATAGACACACTCAGCCTTATGGGAAGATCAAGGACATGGAAGGGGACAAAAAAAAAGTGAAATACAGAGATAAAGGGTGGGGCGAGGGAAGAGTCTGACAGAAGCCAACTTCTTGTCAACCCTGTTTTTCCTGTCTCTCTTATTGCCCCCTGCAGATTGCAAGAGAGCTGCACCAGTTCACTTTTGACCTGCTTATCAAGTCCCACATGGTGAGCGTAGACTTTCCAGAAATGATGGCAGAGATCATCTCTGTGCAAGTGCCCAAGATTCTTTCTGGGAAAGTCAAGCCCATCTATTTCCACACACAGTGAAGCTTTTGAAGTGTCCATTTCCCTATTCCATCCAACTCCTCTGTTCAGATGTCTTCTGCCTGTTACAATTCTGCACTATTCTGCAGTGCCTTGCGGGAATTTCCTCTACTGATGCACAGTCTGTCATAATCCTGTTCCTGAGTTCTATTTGCTGCCCCTTTCCCTCTCTTTCCCTCCTCTTCTTTGCCTCTTCCCTTTCTAGCTGCCCTCCCATGGCATCTGCAGATTCCTGCTGTGGCTTCTACTATCTGTGTTTTGAATGGTGTTGTATTTCTTTAAATCTGCGATGATCCCCATGTGGCTCAGTTTCAAGTTCTGCTTGTTTATAGCACTGTGCTCTGTGCCAGCCACACAAACATTTACTTACCTATCCCGTGGAAACTTTAGAGCTAAGATCATCTGGGAGAAAAAGTAAACAAAAACAAACAAAAAATGGCAAAAGACAAAAATCACACACACACAAAAAAAGAAAACAACCTCTTGCTAGAATTTCTTCTCCTATAGTACAAGGTAATAAAGAATTAGAAATCCCCAGTGAGGAAGAAGGTGAAGATGACAGGCCCAAGGGGAGTGAGTGCTTTTGTTTTTCCACCCCCTCCCTGGGAGACTTCATTTGTGCCAATGGCTCTTGCCATTAGAGGGTAAGGTGTTTTCAGAACCAATTTGGAAGGGGAGTGACAGAGATAAGAGAGGACAAGGAAGGGCAGACAGATCACTATTAACTGCCCACAGCCTTGGTCCTTGAGTGAAATTCATTGTCTTACAGATATACTTCTTGTTTAAAAACTTGCCTACATGTGAATGCCTCTGCAGATCACCTGCTGCCTCCATCCTCAAATTGACTTTGATGGTTTTTAAGAACTTTTCATTGAATGTCATCTTTAGCCAAAACTTGGCCACTTCCACTGAAGATCACTGAGAAGGGGAGAGATCTGCCCCTTTAAGGGTCCATTCGGACCAAGGTCTGATTTCCCATATGTGAACCAGGGAGGCAGCTGCTGATGGAGTCAAAGCAAGAATAAGTGATGGCTTAACTGTTCTTCTGCCTATGATATTGATGTCTCACAAATGCCATTCATTCCCACTTCTTTAAAAAATGATTGAATGAATTTTTCTGCTAGACTTCATGAAGTCACAAGCTCGCTCTGAGGTCCCCAAATGTCCTTGTGGAACTTAACATCACCACATTGCATTTCCATCATGGTAGTGAAGCTTATTCCCATCCTTGGGTTTGCCTACAGACTCTTTGCAAAGAGACCCACCACCATTGCCGCTGCCACCAATAAGTCCATCAGATCACCAGCACTGATATCTCTCTGTAATTGCTGTATTCTCAAAACTTCCACACAAAGTGTTGGATTGCTGGAGCCTTTAGGAAAACTGGGAAGATGGTATCAGGATGATAGGACAAGTGAGCGACTTGCCCTTGTCCCCCAGAGATGATACTCTCCCACCAAGTAGACAAATGTCCATTTCCTTCTTCAGAGGAGCTAATGGGGTCAGATCAGGATTAAAGAAAAAAAAAAGCCTCAGTGATTATGGAAGAACAAAGACATCAGAAGAAGAAACCCTGCAAATGCTGTACTTGGCACCCAGCATATTCACATGTAAAAGCCACGAGACAAAAGAACCAACAGGAGACGCTGCCTAATATAGTCTTTAGAGGAAAAACCTAAAGCCTGATGGGAATCATCTGGTGAGGCTACTTATTGTCGTCCTCTGCACCTGGGCTCTGACATTGGCAGTATTCAGATCCCCTACCGTTGTTGCTGCATATCCATCAGAAACAGGTTGAACAACTTGAGGCTTCCTTTGAAAACAGCTGGTTGGTGTGACTTCAGTAGGCTGTGTCCTGTAAGCACAGGGTATGCTCCCAGGACACTGATTTCATGTCATCCTCTATACTGTTGATTTTGATCCTGGACCTCAAGCGTGAAGAGGAATGTCCACCTGTTGTTTTTTTGGCCACAACTTCTCCACAGAGTTCTTAACTTCACCTGTTAAGCTTAAGAAATCAGGGGTGATCTCCAAGCTGCCTGTTTTCAGTTGTATCACTCTACTCATTGAGAAGACAGCTTCTGAGTGACATGATATATCCACATGGATTTCCTTCCTTGATTTCAGTGTTGATATTAATAGACAATCTTGCAAAACAACTTCTTTAAATAATGTGGGATAGGGGAACCTAAGATTGGTGACATGTTAATGCTGGACAAAACTCAATCTTGCAGAGTCCCCTTCTGGAATAGGGTAGATTCTAGTTTTCTTTGTTATCTGGCTTATATACAGGGTTACTTCTAGCTGTTTTAAAGAGGAAAAAAATGACTGCTCATTTTAAATATGTTACATTTCAAAAGTCTCTTTACATCTCTTTTGAAATGATTTTCATCTTCTGTGATACACAGATTCAATCATATCGTTCTAATATCTCTAATTGTAAATACTAGAGACACTGATTTCCATCTCTCTATCAAATTCCTCTTTATGGATTGCCCAAATCTGATGTTTTCTGACATTTTATGAAGGTTACTTTTGCAAGAACCAAAAATCAATCGAACAGCATTGTAACTGAAAGAGACAATATCCAGATGCTTCGAATTTCCAGATGGTATGACTAAGGTACAAAAGGACCTAAGCAAGGCTTTTGGCCTACTACTTCTGCAGCAGGAATTGAGTGAGCAAAGGGGATTTTCCATGGATAAAATGAGCTTTATTTAGCCATTGAGGTTCCATCCAGAACAATTGACAAAAGACTCATTTTGCATGCACTCAGCTTTACAACCGTAATATGATTGGTACACTGTGCTTACCCATGAAGAACTGGCCTCCAAGGGTCACTCATTTGCTAACCAGAAAGACAAGGATCAGCTACCGGACAAGTCATTGGAAATATCTCCAAAGAAGTTTGCTTAGGGTTGATGGAGATGGAAATTGAGGAAGAGAAAATAAAGAGCACCGAAAGGGAGGCCCCATCTGTGCCTACCAGCATACAGCTGTCAAAGTCATGAACTCTATGGTCAAAGAGTCCTGTGGCAGTTGCAACTCTTATTCATTGGGCATCTTGCCTTGGCTTGGCCTCTGAACTAACATGAGAGATAGATTCTTTGTTCTATAGCTTTTCTATGCCACCGGCAATATTGTTGTTCTTGGAAAGTTCATTATTTTTTAATTACCTTATTCCAAGGAAGGATATTTTGAAGGATACTGTCTTATATCTTTGAAGAAAAAAGGAAATTAGTAGCTTGTATATTTTTATGTATGCTCACTGGCACTTAAAGAAAAAGAGCTTCACTCTGTCCTTTGGGTAGTTGCTAAAGTAATTTTCCAAGTTAAGAAATAATGTGCTGATGCTAGAGTCCCTCTCTTCCCATGCTCTATTTCCTACATATTTATAGACATGTATAAACAAGATATATTTGACTTGTACTCTAAGAGGAAATATATCCACCATCTACACGAGACTGACACTACACAAATGACCTAACTTTAAGCTTCAGGTAGCTGCTAAGCATCACTTTCATGAGGCACAGCACAAATGTGGCCTTGTCCTCTTTTCTCCCTTGATAACCAACAAGCATAAAGCCCCAATCCACTCCCTCTGCCCCTTTCCAGCCTGTGCCAACACTGCATTTCATCAGACCTGTTGCAAACAACCTAGTCACTACCCTGCATGCCCCTCCACAGAGCCTAAAATACATGAGAATGATTACTAATTACCCTATGCCAGGTGCCCAGGTGGGAGGGTACTGGGCCAAGGAAGTAGATTTTCATGCTTGACCCTAACTGAGGGGTCATGGGAACCAGACATACTAACGCATCAGATTCAATCCCAAACTGAAAATCAGCCATTTGTCATGTGCAATTTCTTAGAAGTTTCTACACATGATGTCTCTATAGACAAATCTGTTCTCACCACTGATCCACTTTGAAATCTTTCAAAGAAATTTTTAAAAGACAGAAAAAAGATTTGAAAACTACATTATGTAATCAAAGATTCCATCGTAGCTGCCAAAATACCCAAATTTTTTAAAGGTGGGGAGGGAACAAGTGTTAGTACTTTTTGGTAAGCTATCCAAAGACAGACTGAAGGACTTTAATGATGACTGACTTGTAAGAGTTTTGCAGTTTTTTCCTCTCAGTGTGCATTTTTAGAAGAGTCAAAAGTCATTTGGAAAACAATAGGTTTGTGGGGTCTTCATTAAGTGATTTTATAAGCAGAAATAGCTTTCCTTTTCTTAGTAGTTACTGAGCAAATTCTTGAAGCTCCATCATTGCATGATTGAAAATGGAGCTAGTCCTTGCCACTGTGTTTATTAGTGCCCTTGTTGCTTCTCTGAAGATGTGAAGTCCTTGCTGGAATGGGGTGTATTTTAAAGGACTAGATTTTGCACTAGAAGGACAGCAGGCAGAAACCCTCATTTCTGCGCAACTTAGATGGCATAAAAACGTCACTGCAGTTGAAGGCAGAAGGTTGAAGTATATTGTAAATGACTATTTGTATTCATGTTTCAAAACTGAAATATATATATATAGATACATAGATAGATAGTTAAATAGATAGATAAAATGTTCTAATAGCTTTATCTTTCTCTGCACCTTGATGTTTGGTTCCAGGTCATATCTGATGCCATGTACTTGCGAGAGAGGCAGTAATTACATTTTGGAATCTCTCTCAGAATGGACAAGACACCTGGATTGATCAAATAATTAACAGATCTCTGCCCCGATTGGGACAGAGTGCAGAAAAGTGTCGGGTACATTATGTATTGCACTTTACTAACCTAAGACAGATGAATGTGCAAAGGGTGGTGAAGACTCATTGGATCTGACTGAGTTTCACCATAGGGGAGGCTCATACTTTTGGCCAAAGGCCTGTCCAAATGATTGGCCAGTTGCCTCCACCCCTCTACTGGGACCTGAGCCTTTGGTAGAAGGAAGGCTGTTCCTTCACCTGCACCAGTTTGGTCAGAAAAGGGCCGTTGTCTGCACTTGGGAATCTGGAGCAAGAGTGCTCCAACTTTGACATCAGTACCATTCACTGAGATTGAGGTGCTCTTGCTACTGGGTGTCTCTGTGCTTTAATTCTGGTTTTAAATATATTCTGTAAAGACTTTGAAAATGCCAATATGTTTTACTCTTGTCAGTGTAATAGAATTTTATCTCTGTAGGTACAGAGCCACCTTTGCCCATAGGTAGGGGTGTTTCTCTTTAAGTAAAGTTTGACACTGGGATTGGTTGCTCAGAGCCCCCCACCCCAACTCTCTATCATTTCTAGGTGAGGGCAGACACATCCACATTAGTCAAGCTTCCTCAGACATTTCAGCAAATGTCTGAACAAACCGCATCAAGTTATTTGGAATTCTTCCACTCCCTCAAAACACTGATAGCTACTTGAATTTTAAGATGAAAGACAACCTTTGAGCCAGCTTTGATTTTTCTCCGTTTTATTTGGCCAAAAAAAAATATACATACTATGCATTAGTTGATTTCCAAATCTAAATTAGTACAGTAGTGACTTATTTGTGCATGTCCCCTAGCTTTTCACAGAGTTAAATGAGAAACTACGGAATGACTGAGCCTTGTGGCCTCAAACAGTTCCCAATAAGCTACTCATCAAAATTATCATGTTGCTGCACTGGCCACTAAGGACTAGAACACACACCTATACCATATCCCAAAAGGAAAGACAATTCTACAATGTTGCTGCTTCTGGGATGATGCTCTCTGACTGCTCCCTCGCAGACCTGGTTCCTATAGTCTGCACTGAAAACAAACCAGGCATGTAGTATGTCACAGTCTTAACCCTTGGTGCTGACTGTCCTGCACTGAGGTCCCTGTAGTGTTGCCCTGGTTTTTTGGTTTTTTTTATTTTTTTATTTTTTTTTGCCACTTGGGTGTTGAGAGCAGCCACCATCTGGATGACTCCAGCAAAGAAAAACCACAGAAACCATGAGTTCTCTCGCCACCCGGTGACACCCTTCTGCTTTCCCCTAGACTGGAATGGTAATTAGTGAGTGCTTCAGACATGGCATTCTTGTGCTGGCCTTGAGATTAATTTGGCAGCAGGAGGGAACAGACTATGTAACCGCAGATAAGAATTAATTTTCAATGTTGAAGAAAAAAGAAAAGAAAGGGGGGAGCATCATACAAAATTTGAAAAAAAATTAATTTTGCTTGAATCTTTTCATGGGGCTTCAGTTCTCATTGAGGGGCTTGGTCTCCACCAGGCATCAGAGGCAGCCCCCAAGTGCTAATTTTCTGTTCTCCTTTTGCAAATTTGGAATCTTTCTGTGCTCTAAATACCAATAAAGATGGTAGAATCTTGTTAGCTGGAATACATGTGTGAATCTGGATTTGTCTCCGTGTCTGCTTTCAGAAGTGTCATCCATTGAGTAAAAGATTGGTTTACTGGTCTGCCAGCTAAAATTTGGCTGACCAGGGTTTACCCAACCCAACCCTGCCCAACACATACTCAGCCCTCATGCACACCAGCAGGAACTGCAGCCCAGTTGGAACAATCCCCAATACCTCCCCCCAGAAGGACCCCCCAGCCTCGGCTCATGTGCATATTTGTACACACGGTACACTGGCCCAGTTTGTCCCTTTAAACTTTTGTTCATATCAGTGGGTGCTGAAGCCTAGCCAGTCCAACTGACCCCACTAAACAGGCCACATTTATGCTGGCAGGTGCTGCTGCCTGTCCAGCCAAGCCTGCCCCCAGCCCTGGTTCTTATGTTCACCAACGGGAGTTGTAGCCTATCAGGGGTGCCCACAGTTTTCCTACTAGACCCACTCTCAACCCAAAATCTTGCACTTTCCAGGTGGTCCTGCAGTCTAGCCTGACAGGACTTGCCCCCAGTCCTAGCTCTTGCCGATAATGCTGTGGCAAACCCAACAAGCCTGCACTTACTCTGGTTAATGCATATACCCATGAATAGGGTCAATTAGCCCAGCCTGGGTCTCCCCCTAACCTAGTTCACATACAGACAAACAGGTTTTGTAGCCCCACTCAGTGTGATCTACCCTATTCCCAGCTCACATGCTTACCAGCAGATGTAGAGGCCCAACAAGGAAGCCCCTGCAAGCATCCTAGCATGCTCACCCCTGTCCCTGGCATCTTATGTGTGCTAATAGGTACTGTATCCCAGTTTGGCATGGCCCAACTTATCTCAGCATTCACTGGCAGGTATTGTGTCCTGGCCTGACCCAGCCTGCTGCCAGTTCCAGCTCATGCTGGCAGGTACTGCAGCCTAGCCCAGCTCAGTCAGTCCCTAGTCCTGGCCTTAATATGAACTGGCTGGTGCTGCAGCCTAACCACATCACTCGGCCTGTGCAACACCCTGTCCTGTTTCTTACATATGCCAGTGAGTGACATGAACTACGCCAGCCTGGCCTGTCCCCAGATCTGACCCACACGTATGCTGGCATATACTGTAATCTGGACTGGTCTGGGCTGCTCTCAGCCTCTATTCTTGCAATATAGAGGAGTTCCCAAAGCTCCCCTATTAGGTTATTTCCCAGTCTCCAGTCTTGTGCACAACAGTAGGTTCTTGGCCCAGTATGACTTGGCCCACCTCCTATCCTGGAAGATACAGCAGCCTTGCCTAAACAGTCACAACCATTCCAGCTCTTGCTTTTGGGTGCTACAGCCCAGCCCCACATGATCCACCCCCCAGAGTCAGCTCTCATGTGGTCCAGTGGGTGCCAAGACCTAGCTCAAGATACCCTATACTGGGCCCAGTGTGGTGGCCTAGCAGGTTAAGTCCTCACCTTGAATGCACCAGGATCCCATATGCTTCTAATCCCAGCAGCTCCACTTCCCATCCAGCTCTCTGCTTGTGGCCTGGGAAAGCAGTCGAGGATGGCCCAAAGCCTTGGATTCCTATACCCACGTGGGAGACCCAGAGAAAGGTCCAGGCTCCTGGCTTCAGATTAGCGCAGCGCTGGCTGTTGAGGTCACTTGGGGAGTGAATCTTCAGATGGAAGATCTTCCTCTCTGTCTCTCCTCCTCTCTGTATATCTGACTTTGCAATAAAAAACATAAATAAATCTTAAAAAAAAAAAAAAGATGCCCTATACCCACTCTGGCTTTTGTGAGCACTAGCAGGTGCTGGAGCCTAGCCCCGTCTGACACACCCCAGATGCAGTCCACACCCATGTCGAGGGATGCTGCAACCATGTCCAGCCCAGTTCACTACCCCTATTCCAGCCCACACACTCACCGCAACAGCTGGAATGTCCCATTAGCTCTCTGACCAGGGCTGGTCCCAGCCACAGATCTTTGGCATGCCAGGGGTTGTTTCACATACCCTGAACTGGCTTTTGTCATTGGTTGCTGCAGGATGGTCTGACCCAGTCCACCTCCAGTCCCAGCTTCACTGGTAGGTGCTGCAGTCTAGCCCTGCCAGCCTACCCCCATCCCAATTAGCCTAGCCCAGCTTGCCTACACCCCTTCCTGGTCTCAGCACATACCAGTATGCTACAATTTGGCCTAGTGTAGCCCTGTCTGGTCCTTCCTCTCAGAACCAATCCACATAGTTGCTAACAAGTGAAGCAGCCTTGAATGGAGTGGCCCATACCCAGCCCTGACTCATGCGCTCACCAGCAGAAGCTATGGCCCACTAGGGGAGTTCCCTAACTTCCCATATCAGGCTCAACCCCAGACCCAGATCTCACATGTGCCAGTGGGTGCAAAGTCTTTGCCTGGCATAGTCTATCCCCAGCATCTTGGTCTTTGTGTATGTTATTGCCTGTGCCACACCCAATTCTTGGGTGCACCTGCAGGTGATGTAACCTGGTCTACTTAGCCTGTTCCCAACCCCAATTACTATGGGTGTCAGTGGGTCCCATGGTCATACCTAGCTTGGTCTGTCACCATCCTTAGCTCTTGAGCAAGCCAGTAGATATTGTTGTTTCACAAGGTGGGCCTACATATCCCCACAGAATCTGGCCCCAAACCCAGTTATCTAGTATGCTATTTACTGTCATGGCTAAGCCTAACATGATCTATCCCCTGTTCTGACACTCACTGGTTGGTACTGTGGTCTAGCCTGCCAGACCACTCCCCCACCCAGCCTTAACTTTCATGTGTGTCAGTGGGTGGTAAATGATGCTAACTAGCCCAGCTCAAATCTCCCTCATAAGCAAGTGCACTGGTCTGATGCAGAAAGGGCCTCCAATTTCCCTCCTATAAATTGCTCAGTTTCAGGGCCTGGCATGGTAGCCTAGCAGCTAGGGTCCTCACCTTGCATGCACTGAGACCCCATAC